TAGTCCAGGAGCATGTGACCTTGAGAATGGGTGGTGGCCATTTAAAGACAACGAGAAAAGGGCCTACAGAGAACAGAGCCTTCAGTGAGGAAAAGTAGGTAGAAGTCTGGTCCTTGTCACAAGTTTGCACCTCAATCAAGCCTTGCCTAAATCTATTGACTCTGAAGTTTTAGTTTGGTGAGCCAATCAATATATGCCTATTTTTAAAAAAACAGCTTGAGTTAGATTTTCTGTTATTTACAGCAGAAAGCATACCAATTATATTTTTCTTCTAGGTGACACTGTAGCAATGTGCACACTTTTCCAGCATGCACTGCACTCTTTCCTAATGTCGCCCCCTCTAGCCTATAAGGTTTTGAAGGCAGGAACTGAGTCATTCACTTTTGAAGTTATACATCTTTGGGACAGTGTTTTGTATATAGTGAGCACCTGATAAGTATTTATTGAAAGTATAACTGAATAAATAAATAAATTACAAACAATCCAGCAGCATGGAGTTAATGTCATGATAGCTTTGACAAAAAAGATATGCTCAGAACCTGAGCCATGTTTTCTACATTTGTAATCAGAGACAAGGCTGTTTTATACCAATTGACTATTGTTATTCAAACACAGAGCCATATTAGAGCTTCAGGATTAAACAGCACACTATTGAGAAATGTTACTGAGGCTGCACAAGAATATTTGATGTTAAAGTCACAAAAAGCACAGGTAATGTTAAGATCACCCTATCTCATCAATGCCCCCTAACAATGAGACAGCAGCATTAGATTTGGCCTCAGGTAACCACGAGGAAAATCTTACTTCCCCGAGAAGATGACTAAAGGGTTGTTGTTTTCTATTTTGCTATTCCATTTTCTAAAGAGAAATTCTCATATAATTGAGAATTTCATTAATCGAGAACCATTATTCCAGGACCTAGCCTGAGGACAGAAAAAAAGGTGATTGTTTTCTCTGACTTACACATGTGTAGATGAGTTTATGTGTAATGCCATCACTCATGCTAATAATTAACAATATAATCTGATTACATTAATTCAGAGCTTAGGGAAAATAAATATCCCTCTTCATGAACACTAATTGAAACGCACGATTCCTTTAAAACTCTGAAGTGCCACCTATCAACCTAACACACTGACAATGTCAACTGATTGCAGGATATACCAGGTGTCTGGCTAGGAAATCATTCACCAGGAACTTCAACAATAAAAGTGATTATAATTCAGTATTTTTTAAATCATATCTGATGTACAAATGATTGTTTTGCTCAGGAACATCAAATCCTCATTTGAGTGCTAACTCGGCTTTGGATCTTTAAGTCACCTACTGTTCTATCACTTTCATCTTTAATTTGAAACAATGTCAGTAGTAAAAAGCTTTTGCAGTCAGGTGAATCTTTAACGTAATATACTCAATATTTAAAGTACACACAAATACTTGCATGATAGAACAAGTAGCGTAATAGGAACAACTAAAATATCTGTATGTTACATGCGAAGAATGATTCCTCAGTTGCCATATAAACTAAAGTTTCCATTTGGAAACTGAGGCTGAAAACTTCTAACTGAAAGGTAGCAGAATACAAAGATCTATGTATTTTCAACCACACCACCTCTGCAGAGCTCCTAATCCCTCTCATTTTCAGAGGCTGAAAGACATTTACTCATGATTACTCAATTTGCCAGCAATTATATATTGGGGTGCAGGGTGGAGGTGTTCTAGAAAAATAAATTGACTGTCCTTCACCTAGTTGGTGAACAATTGGTGAAGACATGAATGTAAGTTTCCGATCAGAATGTAACTTGCTCTATGTTCCTGTAAGTTACTCAGAGATGCAAAAAATCTATATTTGCCATAAAAATTTGGCATATAGCCTAAAAAGATATAAAGCAAAATGCTATGCGTAATGCTTAAAGGTAAGATAGCTATGTAGTGGTTAACATGACAGGAAGCTGTAGGACTCACTCTAGGGTATTTCTCAACCTGAACCAAGTGAAAATTGGAGTCACTTCCTTACTCTTAGAAAACACCCCTGGGTCTGGCCAGTTAGATCAGCTGGTTAGAGCACAGCCTTATAAATCCAAGGTTTGGATCCCTATACCAGCCAGCTGCCCGAAAAATAAAAAACAAAAAATAACACTTCTAACTCTTTTTCTAGTCTATGTTTTATCATCCATAGGTAAAGAAACTCATTGTTTATTTGGAAAAAGCCTTCAGAAAGGTGTTAATAATTTCTAACCAGCTCTATCAAAACATGTAAATATTTTCTCCATCCTGAGTTAAAAAAATAAATAGATGCTTGCAGACAACATTTCACAGTTTAATGTCCATTCGTTATGAACTACTGACACATCGTCATCTTGCGGGGAGGGCAATAGCCTCATGAATTGAAACCCTGACTGATCTGAATCCAAAGTGTGACACAGTCCACAACCTGAGTAATTCAGTGCCGGCACCAGAAGTTGTAGTTCCTCACTTGCTCCACAAGATAGCAACATTCCACCACCGCTGCTCACAGCAGAAGCTGCACTCAAAGTAGAGCAAATGTGTTATTTAGTCTACGATCATTTTTATCTTTACTAGTGACAGTCTGACAGGACTACTTAATATTGCCAGGTTAACCTTTCCGTGATTTTGTGCTAAATCCTTTTTTCTTTTTCTTTTTTAAAGTTTCCTTAATCTGGGGTATGGAGAAGAGGTTGCGATTGACTCCACATTACAACAGGCTACAGCGATGTTACCAGCCGAGGGCACTGGAAAAACAGGTGTATAGAGAGGCGGGCTTGCAGGCAGCAACTGGTGTCTACCTGACATCCCAGGCCCAGATTTAACAAGCACTCTCAGAGTGTGTGCAGTTCGGGGAGAATATTTAACCTGTCATTGGTCCCCAACAGTCGCTGAGTAAGGCCTTCCACAGCTCAGCAAAGAGTGACATATGGGATGTAAAGTTAATTTCCTTAGGTTCAGTCCTGTTCTCCTCCTGCTGGGGTAAAGAAAGATGTCCATCTGGGGAAAGACTTTTTTTTTTTTTTTTATGTTGCCTTTGAAGATGAAATAGGCTGTAAGGGAGAGATAACAAAATCTTTTCTCCAACACACTTAAGAACAAAGTTATTTGTAGCCTAAAAGATGCATATAACAGACATGAGGCTGGAGGAATTATGCCAGCCCTGCAGCCTGCAAATTGCTCAGGTGACCTCACTAGGGCTACAGAGCTGCTATTTATCCAACACTCGCTTTGTGTCAGACTCTCTGATAAGTGCTTCAAAGAAATTTCCCCCACTCAAATTTGCCCACAACCCTGAGGGCTGTACTGCCATTAGCACCATTTTAATAGATGAGGCATCTGAGACAGAAGGAGGTTGCATGGTAGGTTATGACACAACTGGCAGGCAGACACCAAACCAAGGTTAAACCCAGTTACTCTGACTCCAGTGGCCAAACAGTTAATGATAATACTATCCTGCCCCTCAGTATATGCTGAAACTGGTAAAGTCTTTCCTCAAATTGCTCACCTCATCCACTTTGCAAGAGCCTTTCTTGGCTTTTGAGGGCTTATTCTCGAAGACAAATCTAAGAAAACACTCCCAAGCAGATTCTGCTTTGTGTCCCTTGGCTCCTCAGGGACCTGTACAGAAGCCACAAAGAGCTACACCTTGCTTATGGTTTATGACCATGAAGCTTAGGCTGCAGCTGCTGGAATATGATGCTTTCATAATATTGCAGAGTTTATAAATAACTTGGAAATCTTGGTCCTTTACTGGGACCAGTTTAGGTAAAAGGCTCTGCCCAACTACATTGTATATGGATAAGTTAAAATAAAAAATTAAAATTAAAAAAAATTAAAGATGAAAAAACTACCAAAATAAAAAAGACTTTTTTGACAAAGAACAATTATGATTTAGGAAATTTCCTGATGATCCCTGCTACCCCCCCCCCCCCCATCATTTGAACA